CTTGGGGAGATTAAGCGTTGGAACTCGAACTCTCTTTTTGGTTGGAGAGAGCTGTGGCGTTTCCCTACTGCCCCGTCGCCATCTTGGTCCCCCCTCCTTGTTTTAATTTTTAAAGGTTTTTTTTCCCCCCCAGTCTTGGGGTTCTGGGCCTGGGCACTGTCCCAAAGCTTCTTTTGCTCAAGGCTAGCACTCTACCACTTGAGCCTCAGCACCACTTCTGACCTTTTCTGTTTTTGTTTTTGGGGGGTCCGGTCGTGGGGCCTGAACTCTGGGCCTGGGCGCTGTCCCTCAGCTCTTCAGCTCAATGCTAGCGCGCTACCACTTGAGCCACAGCGCCACGTCCGGGTTTTTTCTTATGTGGTGCTGAGGAATCGAACACAGGGCCTCAGGCATGCAAGGCAAGCGCTCTACCACTGAGCCACCTTCCCAGCCCCTGGCCTTTTCTGTTTATGTGGTACAGTGGAATTGAACTCAGGGCTTCATCCAAGCTAGGCAAGCAAGCACTCTACCACTAAGTGACATTCCCAGCTAAAGTTTTTTTTTTTTTTTTTTAATTATAAAGGTGATATACAGAGGGGCTACAGTTAGTGAGTACATTTCTTTTTACTCCTTTCTTTGTACTCTCTGTTTTTACCTTCCATCCCCATCCACAAGTTGTATAGTTCATTTTCTTTATTTTATTCCTTAAGCAGTTCGTATGCACTTTGTTTTCTCATGTAAGAGTATTTTTCTTGAGATATCTAAATGTGGATTCTGCATAAAGCAGCTATATGCAGCTCTGTGATTCTGTTTCCTCCTCCCTCTTAGGGCATCGACGAGGGCCCTGAGGGGCTGAAGCTCATCTCTGACATCATCCGAGAGAAGATGGGCATCGACATCAGTGTGCTGATGGGTGCCAATATAGCCAGTGAGGTGGCTGCCGAGAAGTTCTGTGAGACCACTATCGGTGAGCCACCCAGGGGAGACATGGAGGTCTCTCCTGTGTGTTCCCCTCCCTCCTTGCTCGCCCCTGTGCTGCTAGAGTGGAACCCAGGGCCTGGCGCATGCTCCACCCCAGAGCTGCCCCAGCCTGTTCCCCATACTGTCTGTGGTGGGCCTGGGGGTGGGCGGGTTATGTGCAGAACCATTCTGTGCCTCTGAAGTGGTCCAGCCACACCAGAGTGAATGGAGAGCTGGGGAGATGACCTGATCCACCTGGAAGGGGGACCAGTAAGTTAGACATGGAAATAGAAGGTTGTTTGTACCCCCACACAGGGGGTGTTTGTACCCACACTCAAATGGGGGAGGTTCCTTGGCCAAGAAATTCCCTTTTTATCCTTTCATTCGTTCCCTCCCTCCCTTCTTCCTTTTTTTCCCTTTCCCTTCCCCTTCTTATTCACGACTGAATTTTGCTGTGTTGCATATGTTGCCTAGACTGGCCTTGAACACTCTGTCTCCTGCTTCTATCTCCCAAGTTGTTAGGACTGACTACAGGATGTATCACTCACCTAGCTTAGCTTTTCACAGATCACAAAAGCCAGTCTCCAAGTCCATCCTCACTGATTCCCATGAGACTGAACAATGGGTGAGGGAAGTTCCCATTTTCTGGTGACTAAGGAATGACTTTCAAGGTCATGCCACAAGGTAGAATCTTGGTTCAGATTTGGCTGTCCTGTTTCCTGAAATAGTAAGCTTTTTTTTTTCTGTTCTTACACGTTGGGAAGAAACATTCTCACACTGATTTTGTGAAAATTCCCATTGCTTTAAGAAGGACTTTGAGAATCTGAAGTATCTTAAAATATAAATGCACTGGTGTAAAAATAATAGTGCTGTATTTTTAGACACTTTGCAAACATTTAGGTTTTTCTCTACCACTGCACAAATTTTACAGATGTTTCTCCTTGACAGATGCATAAAATGAACCTAAGATACCAGAGGCTGGGTTCTATAGTGAGTGACATGAGGTTCATGGAAAATGAACCTTTAGATTCTCATACTTTCCATATAGGATGCTTATAGTTTCATTGCAGTTCCCCCTTGATTTTCATTTTAAATATGTAGGGGCTGGGAAGGTGGCTCAGTGGTAGAACGCTTGTCTTGCATGCATGAGGCCCTGGGTTCGATTCCTCAGCACCACAAAAGCAAAAAAGAAAAAAGCCGGAAGTGGTGCTGTGGCTCAAGTGGTAGAGCACTAGCCTTAAGCTGAAGAGCTGAGGGATAGCGCCCAGGCTCAGAGTTCAGGCCCCATGACCGGAACCAAAAAAAAGAGCTTTTATTCTCCCTAATACAGTAATAAAAATTTTGTATACATTTTTTTTTTGGCTGAGAACCCATTTCCATTTGATCACTGAAACTTAGTCTTTTAAACTACCTGCACATTCTAGCTGGGTTGTTTATCTGCCTCTAGCCTGTGTATTGTAGGTAAGTGACTTGGGCTTGTTTTGTCAAGAAAGGTAAATGTCCCGTTGTCACCTCTCTTTCCCCTTGACTTCTGTCTGTGTCCTTTCTCTGTGGGTTGGACAAAGCTGGCACTGGTGTCTTGAGTTAAATTAAGCAAAGCATTAAAAGTAGCTAGAGATGGGTGCCGGTTGCTCATAGCTGTAATCCTAGCTATTTATTCACTAGGCTGTGAGGATCGAGGGTGTTTGGGCTGTGGGTATTCTTTTTTTTTTTTAGTCGGTCATGGAGCTTGAACTCTGGGCCTGGGCACTGTCCCTCAGCTCTTCAGCTCAAGGCTAGCTCTGTACCACTTGAGCCACAGCACCACTTACAGTTTTCTGGTGGTTAATTGGAGATAAGAGTCTCCTGGACTTTCCTGCCGGGACTGGCTTTGAACCATGATCCTCAGATCTTAGCCTTTCGAGTAGCTAGGATTACAGGTATGAGCTGCCAGTGCCTGGCATCAGTGTTTGAACCCTATGAACCACCAAAAAACTGCAAATGGTGCTGTGGCTTAAGTGGTAGAGTGCTAGCCTTGCACCCAAAAAGCTCAGGGATAGCACCCAAGACCCTGGGTTTGAGCCCTAGTGCTGGTGTGTCGCACATGGGCAGGTGTGCACATGCGTGCGCTCTCGTGCACACACACACACACACACACACACACACAGATAGAACATGAGAGTGATAATTTTAAAAAGTTGTATATAACCTGAATTTAATCATGAAGCTATATCAGACAAGCTGGAAGTAAGGGACAGACATTGTCAAACAAACGTCTCTTACTCCTCAAAAGGACAGCTGAAGGCTAATGGAGTGCTCCATGTGTTGGAGATGGCTGGCGGCCTGATCAGGAATTCAGCAGGGCTTTGGGAACCTAGATTCAGGAATGCAACAGCGTTCTGGACCTCAGTTAGGGAGGGAAAGTTGCTGTCTCAGACCACACTGGTCACTGATGAGAGTTGAATCTGGATCATCTGTTAGTAGTATAGCAACATTGAATTGCACTGTGGTTATGCAGATCTCACCCCCCTCTTTGTACTTTTCACCCCTTCCTTCCTCCTTCCCTTCTTTCTCCCTCTGTTCCTTTTTCCCTTTCCTCCTTCCTCCCTCCTCCCTCCCTTCCATTTCCTTTATATATATATTATATTATATATATATATAATGTAATATATAAAACATATATATAACATAACATATAATATATAATACTATATATATATAGTATTGTAAAGATACTGTACAGAGGGGTTACAGTTACGTGAGTAAGGTAATGAATCCATTTCCTATTGAGCATTGTTGCCTCCTTTGTTTTTCCCCTATCATTCCTTCCCTCCCCACCTCCCAACTTCCTCTCCTCACTGCCCAACTTTCTGCCCCACCCCCAAGTTGTAAAGTTCATTTTCAACATAGAGCCTTGTACATCTCATTGTTACAGTGGATCCTCCCTTCAATTTCTGTTTCTGATAGTGCTGGGGTTTGAACTTAGGGCCTTGAGCTTGGAATGCAGGCCCTTTCTTTTGCACTGTGTTGTTTTTGTTTTTGCTTGTTTGTTTGGGTCTTGAACTCCAGGGCCTTACCCTCACTCAGCTTTTGGGTTCATAACTGAAGTTCTATTGAGTTGCCTCCTATCTGGCTTTTTTTTTCCTTTTTACTAGTTAATTGGAGATAGAGTCTCCTGGGCTTTTCTGCCTATGCCAGTTTTGAACCCAATCCTCTGGATCCCAGCTTCCTGGGTATTTTTGAGACCGTCTCTCAAAAATAACCACCTGGAGACAAGCGTGCATCCAAATCCACCTGTTTTAGTCTTCCTGTCATGGCTGGACGGCCATGGCTTCTGCAGAGGTGAAATCAATCAAACTTTTCTGCCTGGCTGACTTGAATCTTGATGCTTCCAATTTGAATCTTGATCCTTCCAAGTTGCTAGGATTAAAGATGAGAATCACTGCACATGGCTTTCCCTCCTTTTTCTTCTTTTTTAATCGTTCTGGTGGTGAAGCACTGGCCTTGAATATACTAGATAAGTACTCTACCTTGTTTCCAACACTCATGATTTCCTCTATTGATGACATTCAGTTTAATTAATTTTTTTTTCTGATTTTGAGATCAGGTTTTTAATAATCCTCCCACTTCACCTTCCCTGGTGCTGAGATTACAGTTGTGTGCCACCATGCCTAACACCAGCTATTTTTGTTGTTGTTCAGGCCTGAACTCTGGGCCTGGGCGCTGTCCCTCAGCTTTTCAGCTCAATGCTAGCACTCAACCACTTGAGACACAACGCCACTTCCGTTTTTTTCTGGGAATGTGGTGCTGAGGAATTGAACCCAGGGCCTCATGCATGCAAGGCAAGCACTCTACCACTGAGCCACCTTCCCAGCCCCCCCCCCACTTTTTTTTCTGTTGGCTGTGGGACTTGAACTCTGGACCAGGGTACTGTCCCTCAGCTCTTCAGCTCAAGGCAAGTGCTCTACTACTTGAGCCACAGTGCCACTTCTGGTTTTTGAGTGGTTTATTGGAGATAAGAGTCTCAGGGACTTTCATGCTGGGCTGACTTTGAACTGTGATCCTTGGATCTCAGCCTCCTGAGTAGCTAGGATTACAGGTGTGAGCCACTAGTGCCTGGCTAGCACTAGCTAATTATTATTATTATTATTATTAATTCTTTTTTGTCAGTCTTGGGGCTTGAACTCTGGGCCTGGGCACTGTCCCTAAGCTCTTCAGCTCAAGGCTAGTGCTCTACCATTTGAGCCACAGTGCCACTTCTGGCTTTTTCTGTATGTGGTGCTGAGGAACTGAACCCAGGGCATCATGCATGCGAGGCAAGCTCTCTACCACTGAGCCACCTTCCCAACCCTACTAGCTAACTTTTAATTGTGGTAAATTCAGAAATATTGGCCCACCTGTGACTATGGAAGATGAAGAAAAATGGTGTGATTTTTGAGCTTCTTTGAGAAACACCGACATAGTGAGCGCTGGTGTCCCCTTGTGGTGAGCACTGTCCTCAGTCCTGAGTTTAGCACAGAATCTTGAGAGTGATCCAATCACTATGTTAATGGGTCAGACACTGATAAATGTCTCAAATACATAAGTCTGCGGGACTTCTGAGTGAACAAATAAGCAATCAGAGACTGAAATTGAGGTTGGAAAGGACTTTTATTAAATAAATTGATTGCCTCTAAAATGGCCTGGAAGAGGGTCGATCCCACATGGTCCTGGGTCATTGTCTCTATCAAATAGATGGCTTGGCTCCTTGCTTGCTACATCACTGCTTGGGGACCTGTAGTAATAATGAAGAGGCACTTTTTTTTTTGTTTGTTTTTATGGAGAGTGGTCAGGGTCTGGTGCTTGCTAGGTAAGTGCTTTGCCACTGGAGTGATGTTACCAACCCTTTTTGCTTTAGTTATTGTTCTGATAGGATTGCCTAGATTATTCCTGTGCTGGCCTGAACCTTGATCCTCCATGCTTTCCACACAGGTGAGGTGACAGGTAACTCCACCACACTCTTTTTTTTTTTTTGTCAGTCAGGCTGGAACTCGGGGCCTGAGTACTGTACTGTCTCTGAGCTTTTGTACTCAAGGCTAGTGCTCTACCACTATAAGCCACAGCTCCACTTAATTTTTTCCAGACACAAACCTCTAGCTCTGAGCCTCCACATGCAACTTTGTTGGTTGAGATGAGATCTCTTGAACCTTTTGCCCAGGTTGCTATTGAACCAGTTCTCAGCCTCGCAAGTAGCTAGGATTACAGGTGTGACCTACTACGCTGAGAAAAACAGCACTTTCATAACCATGATTTAACATGATAATTTTAAAAGGCGTATTTCAGAGAATGAGGTTGTTGTGAGTGAAACCCATTCTCTGAACAGCATGTACTAGTTGTAGCCACAGACAAGTCCCTGCCTCACCTCAGGGGCAGAGCTTCTTCTCCCTTTGCCCATTCCTCAGCACTAGCTAGTGGCAGCACTAGCTTCCAGCTGGGCACAGATGGCTGAATGTGACTAGGGATGGGCAGGTGGTGAGGTAGAGGAGACACACTGAGACCGTGTGCTAGGGCCAGGGCAGGTTTACCCAAGCAGATGATGAAACAGCATTGCCCAGAAGCACATAGATACCTGCTGCCACACCCAAAGAGGAAGGAGTCAGCTTGCCCAACCTCACACAGTTCCAGTATTTGGAAAAGGAGAACTTAGCCTAATGTACAGAGCTTACAAAATGAACTTGGTACATCTTGAGTGTAATTTTTTTTCCCTTGTGCTAAACTCAAGACGTGGGCATTTTCCCTTAGATTTTTCACTCAGCGTACTCTATTGCTTGAGCCACAGCTCCACTTCTGGCTTTTTGGTGTTTAGGAAATAAGAGTCTCATGGACTTCCCTGCCCCAGCTAGCTTTGAACCATATTCTTCAGATTTCAGTCTCCTGAGCAGCTATGATTGCAGATGTGAGCCTCTATTACCTGCTTCTAGGGGCTACTTTAATTGCTTTTTTCTGCATTGGAATTGTTCAGCTCAAATTGTGATATTTGTTTGGTTTTTCCTCATCTTCTTTCTTTCAACATCCAAGAAGTGGCACAGCATAGGACCTTGGAGTAGAGTGACATATGGGTTCAGAACTTGTCCTCTGCCTCCAGTATACTAGCTAGGTGACCAAGGCAGGCTGTACACCTATTTGGGCTTTCTTTTCTTGTTTAGAATGGTAAGCATAGAAATGCCCCCAGCTGCCTTAGGGGCTCTTTGAATGCTGTTACTGATCCCAGAAGTTCAGTGCTTCTGTCTCCATTCTTGCATGAGCGGATATCAAGCAAGACTGGAGGTTTGAGTGGAAGCGTGAAGTTTACTAAGTATAGTCGTTTTCATAAAAAGGCACTTTCACATGTGAAAGTGGGTCATCTCAGGAGTCAGGAGCAACTGTCCCTTCTGTATTGCCTTGGGCTTTCTTGGAATTTGAAGGGACTGCAGTAATTATATTGTTTATGTAATAAAAAGGATTTTGGCTTCTTGATTAGGTTGAATATTGACATTAGAGTGTTTATTTTTTCTTTTTCCATAGGCAGCAAAATAATGCAGAATGGCCTGATCTTCAAAGAACTTCTTCAGACTCCCAATTTTCGAATTACTGTGGTGGACGATGCGGACACGGTGGAACTTTGTGGTGCTCTTAAGGTAAGGTCCTTCTGCCCCGGGTGAGAGTGGCTCAGGCTAGGCCCAAGTGGGTGGTCTGGAGTCCAGTCCTGGGGAGCAGCTCTGGGAGATTTTCACTTAGCTCTGTGAAGAATAGTGAATATAAGTGGGGACTGGTGGCTCACACCTGTAATCCTAGCAGCTTCAGAGGCTGAGATCTGAGGATTGAGGTTGGAGCCAGCTCAGGCATACAAATCCAGAGACTTACCTTCACTTAACCAGCAAAAATCCAGAAGTGAAGTTGTGGCTTGAATAGTAGAGCATCAGCCTTGAGTAAAAAAGTCCAAGTGAGATTGCAGGGCCCTGAGTTCAAGCCCAGGTGTGTGTGTATGCATACACACACACACACACAGAGGCACGCACGCACATGCACATACATGCATGCATACATAAACACACATGCGCGTGCACACACACTCACACACACATAAAGTGAATCCAGGGACTTCTTTATTTTTTTATTTTTATTTTTTTTGTCGGTCGTGGGGCTTGAACTCTGGGCCTGGGTGCTGTCCCTCAGCTCTTCAGCTCAAGGCGAGCGCTCTACCACTTGAGCTACAGCGCCACTTCCAGTTTTCTGGTGGTTTATTGGAGATAGGAGTCTCACGGTCTCTCCTGCCCGGGCTGGCTTTGAACCGCGATCCTCAGATCTCAACCTCCTGAGTAGCTAGGATTACAGGCGTGAGCCACCAGCGCCCGGCCAGGGACTTCTTTATAACTTCCTGTTACCCTCTCTTCCCTGGGTGGTTGAGCTCACTCTTATTCATGGTTTTCTTGTACTAGAATTGTGCTGTTTTGTACTTTGGGGTGGTAGCCACATTGTTTTCCCAGGGTTTTACCCAGGAGCTAACGAGCCTACTTGTGTCTTTTCCAGCAGGAGCAGAAGCTGGCTCTCCCTAAATTCTGTACTTTGCTGGTGTGGTGATTTGGTTGATTGGTCTTTTTTAAGGAAAAAAAAATACATACACACACATACATATCTCCCCCCCTCCCCTGCCACTGACCAAAGGTTTTTCTAATAGTTTATCTTTGCCCCCTGTAGAGGGAATAGGTCAAACTAAAAGTTGCAGCATCCACAGCTCAGTGACTTGGGAATGTTGAGGCAGAATTATAACAAATTAATTATAGACCAGTCAGCCTCTATTCAGTTCTTGCCTAGGAGCAGCCTGTGGGTTTTTAAATTGATTAATTAATTTATTTATTTGCCTGTCATGGGGTCTGAACTCTGGGCCTAGGTGCTGTCCCTCAGCTCTTCAGCATTATAAGCTTAAGCCACCAGCACCTGGCTGAGAACTATATGTAGGAAAACCTTTACTGGTTAACACAGCACTTCAGGTTTAAAGCAAAGGAGACTTCCTTATTTTGCTGGCAGGAAAAGCTGGCCTGCTGTAGGACATGGCTGCTTCCTTTAGTGATTCACTTTGCTGATGGAGCACGTGGCATGAGCAACTCCATTCTGCTTCTGTGAGGGTTTGGTACAGGAATGATGTCCACTAATACGTCCTGTAATTTTTCGGTAAAGGGGAACATTTCATTCATCTATTTTTGTGCCAGTACTGAAGCTTGAACTCAGCGATTTGCTTTCTCACTTGTTTTTTTTTTTGGCTAAAGGTTGGTGTTCTACCACTTGAGTCACATCTCCACATCTAGCTTTTTGCTGATTAATTGGACAGGAGTCTTACAGACTTCTCTGCCCCAGCAGTCTTTGAATGGGGACCCTTAGATCTCAGCTGAGATTATAGGCATGATCCACTAGCATCTAGCAAGGGGAAGCCTTGGTCAAGTCTGTCTCTATCACGATGCAACCAGAGTTGTAGACCTCAGGTCCAAACTTTCAGGATTTGCCTGGTTCTGCCCCTTGCCCCTCTATGCCAACTAAAGAGGTTCTAATGGTGAAGGGCAGAGAGAGGTTTATTACCTGACACTGAGTTCATCTTCAGGCATCTTCTGTGTACAAATGTGAGTTTTAAGTTTAAATAGAGAGTGCGGGTGTGTAGGGGTGGTAGTGTCAGGTATGCACTGTTAAAGCAATCCCAGCCTGGCATGGCATGGTTGACCACTGTCTCTTCCTTGTTCCGAGAAGTGTTCCAGAAGATTTATCAACTCTGGAGAGGCTCTGGAGTCCCCTTCCTTTGGACTAGTTTCCTGTATTCCTCCATGGAAACATGTGTTGCTAAGTCTTGGCATTCCTGGATTCTAAGATGACTGGCTTATAAAAAGATGGATGGATACAAGATGGAGGCGGGGATGCCAGACTTTTTCTCCTGCTATTGGATAATTTGGAGGCCCAAGTAAGGAGTCTACGGTTTAGCAAGATGCAGCAGCTCCTTCCTTCCTTGCTCTGAGTTTATGGCCTCCAACCACAATCCTCAAATCTCAGCCTGCTGAATAATTAGAATTACAGGCATGACCCACCTGCTTCTGGCTTCTTTTATAGTTCTGGGTTTTTGTTTTGGTCAGTCATAGGGCTTGAACTCAGGACCTAAGCACTGTCCCTGAGCTTTTCCTCAAGACTAGTACTCTATGACTTTCAGCCACAGCTCTACTTCTGGTTTTCTGGTCGTGAATTGGAGATAAGAGTTTTATTGGCTTTCTTGCTTGTGATCCTCAGATCTCAGCCTCCTGAGTAGCTAGGATTACTGGTGTGAGCCACTAGTGCCCAGGATCTTTGATTGTTTTTAAAAGATTCTCACTACTTTTGCAGAGATTAGAGTAGCTGGGATTACAGGCATACACTACCATGCTCAGCTTTGTGGGTTTTTTTGTTGTTGTTATGTTTTACAGTAAAAAGGCCACTTTTCATGAGTTAAAACTCCTAGGGAAGGAAATTAGCATCCTCATTCATCTGCCAGAACACCAAGGCTCAAATATGCCTTTCCACTCTCAGAAGAAGTACGTCTTTTTTTTTTTTTCTAGTCAGAATTTAAAACCACTTCCTAGAATTAACATTGTGTGTATATATGTGGTCATGATATACAATGAACATTTAAAAAATTAAAGCCATTTAAAGCCTGGGCTCCCAGGCAGTAGGTCCCATAATTCTAACTGTGCACGAATGGTTCTTCACAGCATGGACAGGCCCTGTCATGCGTTTAAGAAGCTGGCTTTGGCTTCATTGTTTACTTTGGGTGAGATTTTTTATTTGGTTTTAATATTCCTCCATTAAACAAATGACCACTTGACAGCAGGGGACATCATGAATGCCTAATTGCTCACTAATGGCCCGAGCTGCTGTAAAGCTCTTTTAAGTGACTTGATGTTTTTGGAAGTGGAGAAGCTGTGAAATCCTGCCCACAACAAAGGGTGCTGGATGAGAAAATTCTAGACTATGCTAGTTTTGTGTTTGAACCAAGAATGGCTTTTCATTTCTCCTGGCAGGAAGCCTGTAAGTAGATTTGTGCCTGCAACTACCACAGAGAAAGATTAAACCCTTGGAGGCAGTTGGGGAGCGGGGAGGGGCTCTAACACTCTCCCTTCTCCTGTCTGGGGTTTTGGAAACTGAGAGCCAGACCTTTTGATTTTCACTGAATCCAACTGGACAGACGAAGGGAGCAAGATCCAAGGAGTAATGACAAAGGCAGGACATGTTGGTGCTATTGGAGTGTTTTAGAAATCTTAGTCTGGTATTCTTTGGTCACTGTATATGACTTTTCTTTTTTGGTTTGTATCCAGGCACTATGACAATATTTATCATTTGAGCCTGTTAAGCAAGGATGAATGGACATGTTTTCCCTCCCTCCCTCCCTCCCTTCCTTCCTTCCTTCCTTCCTTCCTTCCTTCCTTCCTTCCTTCTCTTTCATTGGTCCTGGGGCTTTAACTCTAGGCCTAGGCCCTGTCCCTGAGCTTCCAGCTTTTTTGAATAGGTTATTGGAGATGAGTCTCTTAGAGTTTCCTGCCCAGGCTGGCTTTGAACCATGATCCTCTGATCTCAGCCTCCTGAGTAGCTAGGATTACAGGTGTGAGCCACTGGTACCTGGCTCCGTTTTCTATTTTGTGGAACTAGGGCTAGAACTGAGCTTCACACTTGCTAGAGATGAACTCTACAACTGAGTACAACCTCAGCCCTTTTTGTTTTGTTTTCTTTTTGATGTTTTCAATTATTTTCTTTTAAAAATTATCTTCAGTTGTACAAAGAGGTTTCAATTCAACTTGTCAGTTAATAAGTACAATGCCTCTTTGAGCTCCTTTTACTCTGGCTATTTGAGATAGGGTCTCATGTCCTGTCTGGGAGTGCATTGGACAACAATCTTCCTGATGTATGTATGTATGTATGTATTTATGTATTTTTGCTGGTCGTGGGGAATACACTCTGGGCCTGGGCACTGTCCCTCAGCTCTTCAGCTCAAGGCTAGCATTCTACCACTTGAGCCACAGCACCACTTCTGGCCTTTTCTGCTTATGTGATGCTAAGGAATCGAACCCAGGTCCTCATACATGCTAGGCAAGCATTCTACCACTGAACCAACTTCCCAGCCCCTGTATTTATTTTTTATTTTATTGTAAAGATGCTATATAGAGAGGTTACAGTTACATGAGTAGGGTAATGAGTACATTTCTTGTCGAGCATTGTTACCCTCTCCTTTGTTTTTCTCCTACCATCCCTTCCCTCCCCCACCTCCCCAGTCTTCCTGTTATATATTTCCATCATAACAGGTATGCATATCATGTTCAGCTTCTTCCTTTGAGATGGAGTTTCATGAACATTTTTGCTACAGACTCCTAAGTAGCTAGTCTTGTGGGCATGAGCCACTGGCTCCCAGTTGGTAATCTCTGACTTCATAAATGATAGTTTTGGGTTTTCCCCTGATTATTCATGTAGTTATATTAAGCATGTTTCATATACTGGAAAACAATATAGAAGAAAGTGAAAATCAGTGACCAGATTGTACGCTGAGACACTCATGATCCTTGTACAGTCTTTCATTTTTATTTTTTTATTCTTTCTTTGGTTGGTTGTGGGTCTTGAACTGGGCCTGGGCGCT